TCACGAGTTATTAACGGATAAAAATTTACTTTGTAATTAATAATTTTTAAGTGGTCGGATACTTTTGCTAGGTGAGTATACAGTATATATTATATTACGCAAAATCACGTGATATTTTGAAGATTACATACAAAAATTCTATTCTTTGACTTCATCCACGATTTACATGACAGGTAGCAATTTTCTACTAAGATATTTTATGACAGACTGAAAGCCCTAGTTTTTGGTTACAAGATAATATGTATTTCATTCCTGTAGCATCGATATTCGCGGAGGTATTCGTGTTTAAATTCCGGACGTCTGTGAAAAATTTATGCCATAAATTTTCGGAATTTTCATAATTCTAGCCAGAATTACAGAAAATTTATGGCATAAATTTTTCACAGACGTTCGAATTTAAACGCAAATAACTCTTCGAATATTGATGATACCTGGATGAAATACATATAATTTTGTAGCAAAGAACAAGGCCTTTCTTTCTACATTAGAAACACCTTAGTAGAAAATCGCTCTACGCTTCGCAAATCGTGAGCGAAGTCAAAAAATACAAAAATCCTTCGTTGATCATCGCCTATTGAAATTTACTGATGAATTTTTAACCAAAAGAGAAATCAGCTAATTTCTAACATGCCCTAATATCATAATATGCAATATATAATTGCAAATATCATCTTTAGATAATACAAGTCTTCAATATTGCAGATTTTTTTGTTCAAAAAGGTTTATAAATTTAAAATCTCCAGGTTTTTTGTTTCGATTAGACAATTTTTTTGATCAAACAAAATTAATATTTCAACAATTATTTGAGAAATTTTTCTTATTTCTTGTAGATCAAAAACAGATCAAATTAGCCACATAAGCCACAATAACAACAAATTAAGTAACGTGATATTTGCGATATTTATTTAATAATGTACGCGTTTTAATTTGTTTTAAATCGATCACCTACTTAATCCTTTTGTTTTAAATTGTTTAAAGTGTAATTTTTAGTGTTATTTTTTTAAAGTGTTATTTTAAAATTCTATTTAAAAATGCCTCGCGAACGTGAACAACGTGAACCCGAACCTGAAATTGAAGAAACTATTGAGGAAGAAAATGGGGAAGGTGAATTAATGTACACGCCGATTAATAAACTTGAGGTTCCTTTTTATAATATAAATTGTAAACTTCAATGGTTTATTTATTTATATTTTACATTAACTTTACCATTAAATATTGTAATATTTAGGAAAGTGGTATAAATTCTTCAGATATAAAAAAACTTGCAGATAATGGATATACCACAGTTCAGTCTGTTGCTTTTTCACCAAGAAAAGCTTTATTGACAATCAAAGGAATTTCAGAAGCAAAAGTAGATAAAATTCAAGCTGAAGGAAAGTTAAATTGATTGATTTTATTTTTCCCATTCAAAAGAACATTGTAAATAATAATAATAATAATTACGTGAATGTTTTCATTAATTAATACAGCTTTCAAAATGGCTCCTACAATGGGTTTTGAAACTGCAACTTCTATTCAAGAAAGGAGAAATGATTATGTTTATATAACGACAGGATCTAATGAATTAAACAAACTTCTTGGAGGTAATAATAATAATAATAATAATGATATTCATTCTATTTGGTTGATTATTCAATATATGAATTTATTTTTTAAATCAATTTTATACTATAAAATTTATAGGTGGCATTGAATCTGGTTCCATTACTGAACTTTTTGGAGAATTTAGGACTGGAAAAAGTCAATTATGTCATACATTAGCAGTTACATGTCAGGTACAAGATTTCCTCTTTTTTTTTTTTTTTCTTTTTATTATTGTTTTTTCTTTTTATTATTGTTTTTTTTATTATTGTTTTTATCATTCATTTATTATTCTTTAATCATATAATATATTTCTTATTTGAATATAATGATAAATCTTAATTTATCTTATACATAGCTCTCCGTTGATAATGGAGGAGCAGAAGGAAAATGCATTTATATAGATACGGAAGGAACATTTCGGCCTGAAAGATTAGTCAGTATTGCAGAACGTTTTGGAGTAGCACATGCTGAAGTTTTAGATAATGTAGCCGTCGCCAGAGCCTATAATACAGATCACCAAATGAATTTGTTAATACAAGCAGCCGCCATGATGACAGAAGCCAGGTTTTTTCTCATTTAATTGATACATTGATATAATGATGATATATATTGACTTTTATTTCAGTAAAGAAATCAAATCATCTCAATTCAATATTTTCCATGTTTTCCCTTTAGGTTTTCCCTTATTATAGTTGATAGTGTTACAGCATTATATCGAACAGATTATTCTGGCCGGGGAGAACTTGCAGCGCGTCAAATGCATTTAGCAAAATTTTTGCGTGGTCTGTTACGTTTGGCTGATGAGGTAAAATACACATATATATGTTAATTATTTGGAGTTTTTTGAATATTATGTTGAAGAATATATTAATTTAATTGTTTCTGAAATCAGTTTGGTATTGCGGTAGTCATTACAAATCAAGTTGTGGCGACTGTTGATGGAAACATGTTATTTCCTGGCGCTTCAGATAAAAAACCAATTGGTGGTAACATTATAGCACATGCATCAACGACAAGGTAAATAAAATTGTTTTTTGTTTTCTATAAATAAAATAAATAAATAATTAAATAATTAATTTACAATATCATTACTATATCATTATAGATTATATCTTCGTAAAGGTAAAGGTGAAAATAGGGTTTGCAAAATTTATGATTCGCCATGTCTTCCAGAAGGTGAAGCTACATTTGCGATTGGAAATGGTGGTATAGAAGATGCGAAGGATTAAAATGGATTTGTTTTTTATTATTAACATTTTTACACTTTTGTATTTAGAGAATACATAATTATATAGTTTAGTTGGTTAATAAGAATATAACTGTTGAAATGTACTCATAAAAACAATTAAAATTCATTAAATTATAATAAAAAATAAATGTTATGTTAAATTATAAATCCTCGGAGACTTATGTCCTCGCATTAGTGTTATTAACGGTCCGACTTGAAAAGCTGGACCGTATTGTTAAGACTGATGGGGTCGTTGCCATCGACTCCATCAAATTCCATTGACCCCATTGGGCTTGACCCCGTCAACTTAGAAACCCAACCAAACCGACGACTAGTCGGTTCGATTGGGCATCTTGTTTTGTTCGGACTTAATAACACTACTTCACATGTCTCTTCGTTATAAACGCATGGGTTAGGGATATCTTATAAACGCTAAGATATCGTTTTTGATAGATCTATGGTTATCTTTTTTGATATACCTATAGTTATTTCAATTAATTATTTGATGATCACATGATTTTGTTATTCTATAAATCACATGACAATGCATATATGTATTAGTTGCATCAAAACGATACCTTTAACAGATAGCGTCGATCATTTCTACCCCATTTACGAAAATGATCTGCAGGGATTGATTTACTATAATATTCGGAAGAGACATAGGGTACAGAAAAGAATCTATAAACTGGGGCATAGGATAAAGATCCCTCTTGAAATTTTTTATCAGAAGCTTATGATTGGTTGATATTTCACATGATCCTTGTCGATAACTTGTGTTGATGACAGTTACATACCATTTTTATCTTTTAGTCAAAAGGCATGCAATCTACAAAGCCTAGTAGTAGAACAAAAAGAACAAAAAAAGAATCAAGTTATAACAGGTTGATAAACTCGGAAACAGAATATAATTTAGATTCACCAGCAACTCGTTGGTTAAATTGGTTAGAACAAAATAGATTTGAAAAATGGTCAGGAATAATAATATTGATTTTTGGAATTTACGTAAGATGGACGGTAGGGCTAAATCCATACTCTGGCAAGTTTTAATTCAAATCATTACACTCGTTATATGATCTAAAGAATTGGATGATTTTTAAAGTTTAAGAATTTATTAGTTGTTCAAAATAAGATAAATCTTTAAACAAATTGAATAAATTGAAAAAATTTAGGATATAATACACCACCAATGTATGGGGATTACGAAGCACAAAGACATTGGATGGAATTAACATTGCACGTCCCAATAAATCAATGGTATTACTATGATTTAGAATGGTGGGGACTTGATTATCCTCCATTGACAGCATATGTTAGCTGGTTATGTGGAAAAATGTAATTTATTTTATATTTAGCATTTTTTTTTTTTATATATTTAGTATTTATATTTAGTAATTTATATTGATATATATTTATTTACCTTGTTAGAGGTTCCACGTTTGATTCTAATTGGTTTATCTTAGATCAATCGCGAGGTTATGAAAGCGAGAATAATAAATTATTTATGAGGTCTTCAGTTCTAATATTAGAATTATTGATATATGTACCTTCTGTGTTCGTGTTTGTGAATTGGTGGTTTGATGATAATTCGTGGAAGAAAAAGGTATAATATTAATTCATCTAAATCAAAATTAATAAAATTAAATATCCAATTAACACTCTACATTTTTATATTTTAATAGGAATTGGCTACTTTATTAATTCTTTTGCAGCCATCTTTAATCCTTATAGATCATGGACATTTCCAGTATGCAAATTTATTAAAAAATTTTAATTAATTAATTAGTTAGTTAGTTAGTTAGTTAGTTATTATTATTATTATTATTATTATAATATTACTTACATAATTATCGGTCATATTTCATTTATATTATTTCATATTAGATACAATTCAGTAATGTTGGGACTTACGCTTTGGGCAATAAATTGTTTTTTATATGACTATGATATCTTAGGAAGCATTTTCTTTTGCCTTGCTTTGAGTTTTAAACAAATGGCGTTATACTTTGCACCAGCAATTTTTGCTTATTTACTTGGAAAATGTTTTAGGAAAAATAAAGAAGGGTAATTCACAAATATTTTAGTATATATTTTTTTTTTTTTTTTAAAAAATATTTTTATGTTTAAATATTTAATAATCAATTTAACCTTATATATCATACCATATTATACTATATTATACTATTTTATACTATTTTATACTGTATTTTTTGTGTATACTATATACTATTATACTATTATATTCTATATTATAGGATAATCCTTTTTTTAAAGTTAGGGGGGACAGTACTAATAACATTTGGTATAATGTTTTTTCCTTTCCTAGATTCATTTGAAAACCTTTCTCAAGTTGTCACACGAATATTTCCATTACAACGTGGATTGTATGAAGATAAAGTCGCTAATATTTGGTGTGCAATAAATATAATTATCAAACTGCGAGAAATGTTTGATATTCAATCTTTAGTACGATTAAGGTAAAGATATTGATGACAAATTGATTTTAAATCATTGATTTACATTTTTAATGAATAATAATTATAATTATTATAATCATAATTATTATTAGTTTCATTACCACATTATTGGCGATCTTACCTTCATGCATTCATCTTTGGTCATTACCAAATAAACGTAATCTCGTTTACTGTTTGGCGAATACTTCAATGATTTTCTTCATGTTTTCTTTTCAAGTACATGAAAAATCCATACTGTTACCAGCATTACCTATTACATTATTGATCATAGATGAACCTTTATGGAGTTCATGGTTCAACAATATTTCGATGTTTAGGTATTTTTTTTTTTTTTAATATTTTAAATATTTAATGACTGTGTGAATATTTATTTTGAATGATTAAATAATGAGAATAAAGATTTAGTTTTTATTGATTGATTGATTGATTGAGAATAAATATTTACTTATTCACCCAATTCTTTTTTAATTCCCTTTTAGCATGTTTCCTTTATTAAAAAAGGATCATTTGGTTTTACCATATCTTGTGTTATTATTTATGTGGAATTGGCTTGGTTCTTTTACTCAACAAAAATCCAAATTACCTGTTCTTAATTATTTATTTATGGTGAGTGAACATAAATCACGTTATTCGTGTTATATTTATTTATATTATTTATATTATTTATATTATTATATTATTTATATTATTTATATTATTTATATTATTATATTATTTATATTATTTATATTATTTTAATAATAATTCAATCTTTCTTTTTTTTTGAGATTTTCAGGGGTCATATTTAGTGATCGCTATTATTCATATAATGGAATTTAAATTATCACCTCCGGAGAGATATCCAGATATTTATATCGTTATGAATGTTATCTTTAGTGCAGGAATGTTTATCATATCTTTAATTTATTTTAATTATAGACAGATTATATCAAATAATAATAGTAGTATAATAGTTGACAGAAAGGGTAAGAGAAAAGCTCAATAAGAAATCCTTTTTTAAAGAATTACATCATTTATTATTTTTATTATTTTTATTATGTTTATTATTTAATTATATTTATAATCTTTCTCATTTATTCATTAAATGACTCTAATTTTGGTATTATTGAATTTCAAATGAGAGAGAAACATAGAAAACAACCTATAATTTTATTGTATATATTTTTACACCAAGTTTTATTATTTCCGGATTAGTCATTGGTCTTATTAATAAAATAAAGGTAAGTTAGGAAATGTGGCGGTAATATTTAATTATTTATACACACACATATTTTATATATATATATATTATATATTATATATAAAATAATAAATCCATAGTGCACCATTAAGAACAAACGAAAATAATTAATGAAATATTCTTTTTCGTCTACAAATGGTTGCAAAATCAAAAGAGATGATAAATTTGTAAAGTATTCATATGAATATATTTTTTTCCGGCAAAAGTTTCAGGACCCAGTTTACTAAAGTTATTTGTAATCTTGGGTAGTATTTACTTTTGTACATTTTTTTTAAAAAAATATTCAATTTTATGAACAATTTATTGTTTATAGTGTGCAACATAATGTGTAGAATGTTTGGAATGTTTGGGTGATATGTGTTAAATTATGAATGAATCTTTATACATTTTATACATAGATTTGTCTTCCCAATAATTTTACCGGTTAAATATACCTCTCGTTTGTTTTTTAAAAAAATCCCATAAATGGCCTAATGCATAAGACAATATTCGGAATTCCTGATCTTGGTAGTTGTGTTCCTATCTAGATTTGATTAAGTTATTCCATTGGTTTCTCATTTTATAAATTAAAACTTTAAATAATTACTTTGATTATTACTTTAATCATTACTTTAATTATTACATTATTAATATTTATTAATAAAGGTATTCCAGCACCCTTAAATGTGTAAAAGTGTTTATCTTTCATAACAATGAATAATCGAATTTCGAGAAAATCAATGTTACGTAATTTAAATATTGATCACCCAAGCAATTACGTAAACATAAACAATTTTAATTTTATCATAAACATCATAAACATCCAATTCAGAAAAACATGAAAGAACCCTTATAATCTATTTCCGTTTTTATATTACACGGTTTATATATTGTTTAGATAATTTAAAATAATTTAAATTATTTACTTGTTAGATTCCTCTAGAGCAGATGCTTGTTCTACAAATTCCTTGACACGCCCTTCGGACATTACACCGATGAAACGATCAACGGGTCTCCCTTTGTGAAATGAACACACTGTCGGAAGTCCAGTAATCTAAATTTTTTTTTTTTTTTTTTTTTTAAAAAAAAAAAAAAACAATGAGAATGATAATGATAATGATAAGATAAAAAAAGGTAAAATACCATGAAATATATGAAAAAATATCTTTTAATTACCGAATATTTTTCGGCCAATTCTTGATTATTATCAGTGTTTAATTTTACAAGAGTGACTTTTTTATTACTTGTCACAACACGTTCAAGGATTGGTGTCAATAATTTACAAGGCCCACACCAACTATTATTATTATTATTATTATTTTAATATTTATAATTATTGTTATCATTATTGTTATCATTATTATAATTATTAGAATAAATAAAATTAAAAAAATCAATTAATGATCTCTTTATTCAAAAAAGAAAAAAAAAATTATATTCACTCTGCATAAAAATCAACTATTACTGGTTCCTTAGATTCCAAGACAAGATTTTTGAAATTAGCATCGGTAGCTTCCAAAATTTTTCCAGTTCGTATAACTGAAGAATTGTGAAAGTGAGCTGCTATTGATAGTTGCCGCACTGTGAAAAGAAGAGTGAACAGTTATTGGTTCATTCATTCGTTTGACAAATAAAAAAAGAGGATGAACTTTTTTTTTTCAAAAAATCATTCTTCACCAAAATTGAAAGTGGGACGGAAATGGTTCGTTAACATTTCTTTTTTGGATTTGAATTTATGCAAAGAGGTTACTAAAAATAATTTGACATTGATCTGCTAATAGTTTATGTAATATATAAACCGATTATATGATACGTGATGACGTGAACAACACAACATGATTAATTTAAAATCCATTCTCTTGGTGAGACAGCTTTGATAATTTTCTCGGGTAACAGCTTCCGAAAGAATATAAATATAAAGTGTCCTCTTTTTCTTGCCTCCATTCTCAAAACAGGTCATTCCTATTAGTAAACTTTTCCCTCTTTTTTAATAAAATTTTTTAAAAAACATGCGTTTAGTAACTCACAATATGCTCCAATGCCACGTCAGAGGTTGCAATGTAAATAATTTTCCTTTGCAACTTTCAGAAGTCGAGATCGAGGTTCAGGAAACTGAATTCAACCCACAGTTTCTACGTAACATGATACGTAAATTAGAGTGGAATGCATTGTTAAATTCCGCTAAAGAGGTAATTAACAAATTTTTCTTTCTTTGAATTTCATTTTCTTTGAAATTAAATCAATTTTGATTTAATTAAAATTTCTTTTGAAATTTGAATATATGTGAAAATCAAATTTTATAATAAAAATATATTCATAATTCTATTAATTAAAACTAATCTCAGTCAATTTCATTTAATATCACTTAGATCAATATTACCACGCTCCCCGAAGTTTTACCTGATGATTTAGATGAAGATTTTCTCCGAAATCTTCATAGAGTTTTGTTGGAGGTATGAATTAATTAATCAATCATGGACTTTTAACGCGTCAAAGAATTCATTTATTCATAATTTTTATTTATTTAATTTATTTTTATTTAATTTTTTTAATTTTTTAATTTAATTTGATTTTTCTTATTTAATTTTTTATTTAATTTTTTATTTAATTTTTTATTTAATTTTTTATTTAATTTTTATTTAATTTATTTTTTTTATTTTATTTATTTACTAAAATACAGACTCATATTCAACAAGGCAAGATGACGTGCCCAAATTGTAACCATGTTTACATGGTTCGGGATGGAATACCCAATATGTTACTAAATGAAAATGAAACCTAATATTGACCAACCCCTCTTTTTCCTTTCTTCCTATCAATAAATATTTTCAATTATATCCAATTTATATGCGTAATATAATATGAAAACCCAACTTTTTTCCTATAAATCATTTACTATAAATAAGTTAATATAAAATAAATTATTAAGAAAAATTATAAAAATAAGTTAATTTTTAAAGTAAGTTTAGAAAGTAAATTAAATAGTTTATTAAGTAAAGATAAAAGTAGTTATAAAGTTATAGTTTTAAAAATAATCGATGGCAAACAAGGTTAAACATTTTATAGATTATGACAATTAAGTTTTTTTTTTTTTTAAGTAAATAAAAACCCTTCAAAAGGGATCGGTAAAAGTATGCATCATGCGAACGGATGCTTTGGGGAGAAAATAAAAGATTTTTTTTTTTTGCTTACGATGCAGAATTATGATATTAAGTAATTTTTTTGTGAACAAATCATTCGTTTAGTGTAACAAACAATTCATCACTCATATGGTATTTTGAATGAGTGTGCCCACGTGAGTTCTGTTTTTTACTTAATATGGTACTCCAACCCCGAGAAGAATATAAAATAAATCAAAATAAATAAAAATAAAATATAAGATGTGTAATATTTAATTCTATTATTACAATTAATTTCATTGTTCATTCATTATTTTTTATTATTGTTCATTATTGTTTGATTGGTAATAACAAAAATATAAAAATATTTTATTACATAATTTACATATAATGAAAATTTTTTATAAGAAAATGAAAAGGATATTTATGGTTAAATAAATTTTATCCTAGAAAATAATAATAAATCTTTTCACTTAAATTAGTTTTTTTTTTAAAAAAAAAAAATAAAAAAAATATCAATCTTTCAAATATCCTTTCAAATATCCTTCAAATATCCCTTTTAACTATTCTTTCAAATATTTTCTCGGAAAATTTTTTTATTTATCCTAAAAAATATTATTGAAGAGGAACTTGTGAGTCTGATGCTGCCGTATTAGTGGTCATCGTGCTGTTACCACTATTAATGGGTATACCACTACCAGAAGCTGTCCATTCTGGATCTATATCAGCAGATTCTTGAATATCTGCAATCCAAGCATGTTGAAGTAACTCCTTAGCAGTAGGTCGTTGCTGAGGAGATCTAATAAAACATTGTTTTAAAAAGTCAATCCCTAATTCTGTTAATTGTGAATCTTCAGGTATTGGTGGATGACCCGTTACTACATGATACATCACGGCCCATTCGTTATCTAAATTAGACCAAGGACGTCGTCCAGTTGCCATTTCCAATATACAACAACCTAATGACCATATGTCCATTGATCCATTACGACCTTTTTCACCTCCTGTAATAACTTCTGGTGCCTAGATTTTTTTTTACGATAATTCAATTAGTTTATTAAATTTTTAAAATTTTTGTAATCAAGAGGATAATATTAACACTATTAAGAACGGTAACTTTTTTATATATATATATACCATATACATGGGAGTCCCAGCCAAGCTAGTGACATTGGTTTTTGCAGCTGTCGTAGTTCTTCCTAATGTCTTTTGATTTTTAAGAATTTTTGCGGCACCAAAGTCTACATATTTAATAACTCCCATATGATCTAACAATATGTCTTAAAAAAATAATGTCATCAATTAAAATCAATTATTAATTATCAATTATAGATTATCAATTAAGAATTTTTTTTTCGAGGTAAAAAATGAAAAAAAAAAACTTACTATCAGGTTTTACATCTCTGTGAACGATATCATTTTCATGTAAATAAACTAACCCTTGTAACATTTGAAAGACATAATATTGTATTACAGCTTCATCTTCGATACGTCCAAGTTCTAACTGTGATTTTAAAGAACCACCTTGACAATATTCCATAAATATATAAACTTTATCTCTATGAACCTCGATACCGTAATAAGAAACGATATTTGGATGATCAAGTACTTCCATCACTTCCATTTCTTCCTTAACAGATTTATAAAGTGTGGTAAGTGAAGCAGGATCATGAAATTTTATTTCCTTAACTGCCATAAGATCTCCTGTATCCAAATTGACTGCTAAATACACAGAACCAAATGTACCCCCTCCAATATATTTTCCTTGTTGCCATCGTAATGAAATATTTGTTCTAGATGATGCTAGGAAAACGAGAGGTCTATTTTCCGGTCGTTCATCATCTAACACTTTACCCACGAGACGTTGTTCTTGTTCTTTCACCATACGTCTTGACTCTAATTCATTTAAAGCAGCTATCCATTCTTCTCGTATTGTATGCGAATCTTCACTATTATGTTGATTACTATGTTGTTGAGAGATTGATTGTCCGGCAGTTATTGTTTGCTGTTGTTGTTCGGCTTCATGAGATGAACGTACACCCATAATGTCAACATGAGATATAAATAATCTCATACATATTCCAACCTTACGACGTAACATTGCAAATTCACTTTCCGTTAATCCAAAAATATTATTCCCACGATTAGTTGTCATGGCATATTCTAAAGCGATTACGGCCCATCGAAAAGTTTTACGATCGGTAAGAATACAATCATCACAAATGAAACTAACCCAATCGATAGATAATCGATTTAATTTAACATTCAATTGTGATCTTACGGCATCTCGATGAAGGTATCGTAATGAACGTTGCCCAAATTCGGTGGCAAAACTAAAACAATTTTCAATTAAATCTTGACATTCTATATGTTTCGTCCTATCTCGTATTGTATTAACACTATCAATAATTTTGTTTACAAATTTAAATATGGTTTTCTTAATTTTGATAATTTCCCGATTTACGCATGGAACATTGGCTCGGGTTTCTAATAATACTTTAATTCCACAATTTTCAACCATTTGACGAAATCTTTGTTTACAAGCTTGTAATTTGGTATAAGAACCATCTACAATTAATCTAATTCTATGAGATTTAAGATCAAGGTTAATATTATCTAGTGACATGTTAATTATTGGTCCAGACCATTCAAATGATACTCGAGGTGATAATAAAATAACATATTCGAGTCCTTGTGATTCTTCCTCATAATTATCTTGATTTTCTTCATATGGTGAAATAACAATTTCGAGTAACTTTTTTATTTGATCTTCACGGTCATAAAGTGAAGGTGATATTATGAAGCATATACCTTCATCTTCATAAGATGGAGGATATACTAGAGCGTGATCTGTACATTCCAATCCTTGAATAAAGGCAGAAAAATTTGCATCATCAATAAAATATTCGGCAGAATTTTCAAGTTCACCAAAAAGGAATCTAATATGAGATAAAAATTTTTTAACAGTTTGGAAAATCATTTTTTTTTTAAATCAATTATTTTTCAAATTATTTTAAATTATTTTCAAATTATTTCAATTTATATACGTACTTTGTAAATCGCATCAATTTTCGAGATCTTAGTCGTACACTATCCAAAATCTTATTATATATTTTTGATAAATTTGAAGCATCAGCATTTAGAGGAACATTATCTAATTCTGATCCAAAGTAAGTCATTACACTTTGAAGTAATTTATTCGTAAGTCCACTGAAATTTTTTTTTTTTTTTAAAAAAAAAAATTATCATAAATAATAATTTTGGAGATAAATAATATATATATATATATATATATATTAAAATAAATTAAATAAATTAAATAAATTAAAATAATAAATTGTATACCAAAATTGTTCAGCAATTTCAGCATCACCACCTGTTATGTGATGACAAATACCACTCAAGAAAGACCATTCATTTTCTAAAATCTCGGCTTCTTTAAAAAATACGGTTTTATTTTTATAACCATATTTAACTTTCCAATGTAAAAGGGTAAAATAAAATTTTAATGATTCAGATAATACGGTAGTATAATTTTCATCAATACAAGGAGGTATCATCCAACCAGTTTCAGTTTTAATTAATTCTAAATATTGATGTTTAATTTGACATGCTAAAGGAAGTGAAATTCGAAAATCGTCCATCATTTGTTGAACCGTTAACATCGTTGGTTCATTTAATACATTGGCATATTCCAATAATAATTTCATACATTCTTCCATAAGTTTGGTAGGAAAATTAAGAAGTTGTTGTAATTCATTAATATATGGTGGTAATTTCATATTTTCAAATGAAGTCGCATTTTCAATCATCACATGTTTCCCCTTCAATAAAAGTGAATGTACTGTAGTTAAAATTCTTTTCTCAAATGTTTGTTTTAAACTATTCTCTTTTAATATACGTTCAATGAAAGAAGGATTTTCTGCATCAGCTGGTGCATCTTTAGGTCGAGTGATTATTAAATCTTCACTTCCAGTCCAATTTTGTAAAATTCTTAATTGAGTTTGTAAACTACGAGTTGCTGTTAACCATGAAGTTAATGCATCTAAATTATTTTGAAATTCTGGTAATCTATATAAAGTTTTATCTGCCATCATTGCTCTACGAGAAGGATATAAACTTTCACATGAATCAACTTTATGAAGTAATTCTGCAACTTGATCTATTGGGGGAATATTACCAGATTTAACTTTAAATTGTATTACTTCTCTTAAAACATTATCAATTTGTCGTTGTTTTTCAACTACAATTAATTTTTCTTCCACAGGATTTTGTGTAAGACGACCACGTACTGCTGCACGAATTCCTAACCATAAATTAAATTTAAAATCCGATTCTTGTCGTGAAGAACCTGATAAACGACGTTTTTCTGATTTAATAACTTCACCAGTAATAACGGAAGCCAAAAAACTTTGCCATTCAATTCTTTCTCTTTGCATTTCATGAGATAATATTAAAGAATCATCATCATTAACTTCTGTTTCCAGAACGTTATCATTATTATCATTATTATTATCATTATCATTTATCGGGAATGATTCAGGTCTACTATCATCTGAATCATCTGAATCATTATCATCCCAATTAAGATTATCATTTTCATTTCCAAAACTACTAGAAAACTGATTCATCATCCTTCTCGGTTTTGGACCCCAACTATTATTATTATTATTATTATTATTATTATCATTATTATTATTATTTGAAAGTAACTTATGTCTCTTGGATTCTTTACCATTAACAACATTCCTTTCATTATAAGATTTTTTAATAAGTGGATTACGTAAATCTTCTTCTTCTTCTTCTTCATTTATGTCTTCTTCATCACGTTCACGTAAAGAAGGATGTCTACCATAATGATCTGTAATTCTAGAGTTGGAGTTTCTAGAAATGTATAAGTAAAAGTAATGAACAAGCAAACACCCATAAAGTAATGACACAAAGTAATGGGACAAAGTAATAGCACAAATTAACAGGACAAAAGTAATGATACAAAGTAATGACATAAATTAATGGCATATAGTAATGAAATAAAGTAATGAAATAAAGTAATGGAATAAAAAAAAAATAATAATAATGGACAAGTACACACAAAATAATGGATAAATTAGATAAATTAGATAAATTTTTATGAAATTTTAAATTATCTTAAAACTTTTTTTATTTTAAAATAATAAAAAATAGTAAATACATTAGATCAAATGAAAAACTATTTACCTCATATTCTCGAATTAATATTGAACAAAAATATAAATATTTTCAAAATAAATCTTTCTTTTTAAAACGTGTAAAAAGTAATAAATATTATAACACCAAGCCAATTTTTTTTTTTTTTAATAAATTATATAACTTTGAATAAATATTATTATTATTTTTTTTTTTTTTGAATTTTTTTTATTGAAATTTTTTAGTCAAGTATATGTTACTTTAAATTTGTTCGGATTGTGCAACAACTATTGCATATCAAAAGAATGTTCCAACCACTTCTGGACTTTTTGGTTTCCAAATTTTATCGAATTTCAACCTTATCTTTTTTTTTTATTTGTCTAAAATGGAAGCTGAATGTGAAGAATATGAAAGTGTATTGTTAGTAATTCGCGAATGTTATGGTAAGAACCATAAATATATATAGAAATTATTTTTTAAAAACGATTTCTACAAAAAAAAAATTGGTTAATTCAATTTTTTTTTATTCGGAATTTTTTTTTTTTAGTATATAAATTACCTCCAAGAGCATCAAGTAGAGAATACAGGTAGTAACTATTAATTTAAATTAAAATTATGCATATTAATTATAATCAATGAAATTTATAAAAATTTATAAAAATTACAGAGCAGCGGAATGGGGAGATATGGAAGCATTTTTATGGAAAGGTCGACTTAGAATTATGTCAATAGGTAAAAGGTGTATAATCAGATTAGAAGATGGAACAACTGGTAAATGAATAATAATTTTAATAATAATAATAATAATAAATGTTTTCAAGAAAATTTATAAAAATAATACATTAATAAAAATAATAATTATAAAATCTGAAATAATTAGGTGAATTATTTGCACAATGTCTATATGATCCGGAAACGAATTCCGTTGAACCAGTGCGTGATTCATCAAGATATTTTGTATTAAGGATTGAGGATAGTGGTAATTAATCAAATTTTCCATTTTTTCCATTTTTTTTCCATTTTTTTTTTTCAAATCCATATGATTTATATGATTTATATAATTTATATTATTTATTTCATTTAGGTCGACATGCATTTATAGGCATGGGATTTCAAGAACGTTCTGAAGCTTTTGATTTCCAAGTAACTTTGCAAGATCATATAAAGTGAATATTTTGAATTTATTATTATTATTATTATTATTATTATTTATTTGTTTATTTTGTCAATATTAAATTTTTTTTTTAATTAAAAAAAAAATAATTTTGATATTCTTAGACATATCAAAGCAGAAAAAGAAGCAGCAGAAAATGCTAAAGTTGCAGAATCAAAACCAAAGAAAGATTATAGTTTAAAAGAAGGGGAAACAATTAGTATTAATATAGGACATGTGAGTCAATTAATTATTTTTATTATGTTTTAATTTTGTTACATAATAATAATTTATAATAATTATTTTATTAATTTTTAGCATAATCATCACAGGAAATCAAATTCAAATCCAATTAACAAAAGTTTGGAAACAAATGAAACAAATGAAGGTTTGTAAATAATAATAATAATAATAATAAACATTATATTTATTATCTTTAATATTTAATTATATCCCTATATTTATTTTTATTTATTTTTTTTTAATTGTATATTTGTAACATTCATAAATTAGTGATTCCACTTTTACCACCACCACCATCAACATCATCAATTAAGCATAAACATAATTCATCATTATCTTCCAGAAATAAAATTTCAAGATCACCTTCACCAAATTCATTTGAGGAATTTGGTGAATTTGGTGAATTTAAAGAATACCAAGAGATTAAGGAATAATTCAAGGAAATTTGAATAATCAACCAATAAATACCTTCAACAATAGCAACAGTAAACACTGATACTTATTAATAATACTGGATGATTCATAAAAATTGATTAAAAAAATGGCATTATAAATTTTTATAGTTAAGGTAAGTTTGTTATTACAATTTCTTATTTATAATTATTTAATTATAATAATTATTAATTATCTAGTTCCCCATTTTTATTATTTTTGAAAATAAATAGCTAACTATTAAAATATTTGATTTTTTGATATTTGAATATTCTGAATTTTGAATATTCTGAATAAAAAAAAATAAAAATAAAAAAAAATAGAATAATAATAAAAAATGAATAATAAGAGTGAATAATAAAGATAAATAATAAAAAAATAAAATAAAATAAAATAAATAAAAAAAAATAATATCACTCATAATTATTTATACATACATAAATCTATTTATTTGTTCCATTTCCGAAATTTAAATTAATCATTCAATTGGAATTCAATTGAAGTTATACAGTTTTTCGATCAGTAATCACACGAACAATACAACCAACTCCCGCAATTTCAGTGAGCTAAGAAACAAAATCATAATAACTCATATTAAATATTTGAATATATTATTTTTATATCAAGTAATTAAATATAAATATTGATTATTACCTTTTCATGCCAATTCAATAGTACAGCAGAATTGAATGGTTCAGGTGGTTCTTTCTCTTTAGGTTTCTTAACGCGAGCCATTCCGCAATAAATATATTTCATTAAAACATCTTGTTGTTCTATTGATAACCTTTTAATCAATGATAAAATATCGGTAGCTTTAATTGAATTGAGAACATCCATAACAATTTTTGCATTTAATTCCTATATTAAAAATGATTTATTTTTATTATTATCATTTTTTATTATTTATTATTATTATTATTATTATATCATCATTATTATTCAATTTAATGAAAAATTATTACTACTTTAGCGTCAGTCGTATTTAAACCATAAGGAGGATCACTTATAGCTGTTATCAACGCATCTTCGGAATTATTTCTAAAATAATTACCAAATTGAAAAGAGACCAAATTACAAATTTGATGATATCTTCATGATATTATTTATTGTTCTTTTTATTTATTATCTCAAAAAATTCAGAACTTACTTTGTTAGTAAATTTCTTACTTCAATACCTTTAGTTTGAACATTATTTAAAGCTTCTTGTGGGTCAATTTCGGTTCCATCAGAATAACAAAATAATTCTTCTTGAACTAATGGTTCGTCGTCTAATGCATCTACATCAATACTACGGAAAGACATGGTGTAATGATTTACAATTAACTTGCATGACGGAATTTACCCTTTAATTGGTTAACATCTCAAGTGATCGATATGGATATGATTGGCTAAAATCATCAACGTGACATTTTTTGTTTTGATCATCTGAATTGTTACGTCACCCTTATCTTGAGACGCGAAATTCAAATAAATAAATAAAATAAATTTTTTTCAAAGAAAAAAAAAAAACTTCTCAAACCCATGACAACAACAAATTCACCAACAATGATACCAACGACAGTAGCCGAATCACCGAAATCAATATATTGGACGAATCTAATATTATTAGGTTTCAATCCCACAGAACTAGTAATTCTTATAGGAAGAGAAACGATTGGAACATATTCAAGTATATTGGTGGAATTAAATAAAGATATTTTCACAAGAGGGTATACCGCGAATTCGGTTAAAGCCATGGAATTGATTATGTATTTTTTATTTTTAAAATTAAATGATTTTATGACTCGGGAGGTTAGTAAAAAAAATAAATTTATTATATATATATATATATTTTTTGATATCTTTGATCTAGATAATCGATAATCGATAATAATGTCTTTATATATAATATCTTGGAAATGATTGATTACAATTAATTTAATTAATTTAGAGATTTAAATGTTGGCCAATCCTTGATTCGGCATCAAGTAAAACATTTCGAAATATAGCATTTAATTGGTTAGAACAGTTAAAAAAAGATGGAAATTTGGAAAAAGATATTGTAATAAGACGTAGCGCGTTTGATGAATGTCAAGGAGAAAGGTAATTCTATATACATAATATAATGTTATAATATAATTTGGATATAAATAGATGTATGAATGATTATTTTTAATTATTTTCTTCTTTCTTTAAAGATTTGAACGTATAATAATGGCGTTTTCCAATTACGTATTAAAAGTGGTGTTGGAACGTGATTATGAACAATATAGTCGGGGTACACCAAAAATATTATAATTTGTTGTAAATAAATCAATTAATTAATAGATAATATTAATATTTAATATTTAATAAAATTTTATAAAATAAAAGTTCCATCAATTAATTTCACCATGATTAAAGAAATGAAGCCGGAATTATTGAAATCGATTATAAAGGTATTAATCAAAAAATTAATATAATATAATATTCATATGACACTTATTATAATTTAATTAAATCAAAATCAATTAATTAAGTAGATCTACATAAAAATGCAAGTTGATCGATTTTTAAAAGAAACTAGAGAAAGAGGAATGTGTCAAGAACGATGGAAATGTTTGGCTGATGAATTAACACGAAGATTACGTGATATTACTGAACGAAATGTAATTATCACTAGTTATATTAATTATTGACTGTGATCATTATTATTATTATTATTACTTATAAATATGGGATCGTGTATTCACATGTCGGATACGCGTGTTTATATTTAATTCATTCAATTTATATTATTTATTTATTATTTATTTATTATTAGAATCAATTAGAAAGCCAAATATATGAATACTATAAATCATCACAAAATAAATCATCCAAATATAAATTGTCACGAAATAAATCAACTCGAGAAAATAATATAAATAGAGAAAATGAAGGTGATAATAATAATAATAAGAATAATATTGAAAAACTTGTGATGTTGAGAAATCATAAGTTGGAAAATGTTCGAATGATGTGGAAGGAAGGATTAAATTGGGTTAAAGAAAATAGAAAGTATATTGGTATGTTTATTTTTTATTATTATTATTATTATTATTATTATTATTATTATATTAATATTATTTAATATAATAGAGAGAGTGGAAGATATAATAAATGATCGAGTGAATAAATATCGAATTGATGGAAAATCTATTTCTATACAAGTTCCAGAAATTTTAATGATTAAATGGGAAAAACAAATTCAGCAGGTTTTTTTTTTTTTTTATTACTTTTATATTCATTTATATATTGATTCCCAATTAATAATTTATTTTTGTTATTTTTTTAGGCACATATTAATCCTTATATAAATGGGCGATTAGATTTAATATCATTATTGAAATTATGGAGATTTGCTTTGAAAACCATTAATAACATAAATAATGGTAATGATCATGATGAGAATGATAATAATCAGCAATTACAACAACAACAGGGAGATGAAATGATGATAGACAACGAAACTGAAATGAATGAGATTAAAGACACTAGAGAAATGATAATGAAAGACAATGAAACAGAAAATCGATTTCAAAATTTAAAAGAATATTTTAATAATCAAAAAGAACAAATTCAAAGTTTATCATCACTTAAAAATTCATTGAAATCCCAGTTGAATCAAATACATGAATCAATTCAATTATTAAAAGAGGAACAAAAAAATAAAGATAGATTTAGGTAATATTTTCAGATTAAAATTTTTATTTTATTATTTATTTTATTTATTATTTATTATTATTATTATTATTATTATTCAAAATAGAAAAAATCAAGAAATTAAGGAAACGCGAATTATGCTTAAAATCCCATGTTTCCAATTCGATCAATTCGATAACCATTCTTTTGATAATAACTCAAAAAATAACAACAATCCAGATGATATTAAACATATAATTGAATTTAAATTAGGACATGGTAAATATTATTTATTTTTTATTAACGATTTCTAAAATTATTTAAATAAATAAATAAATAATAATCAAAAATAATTTATTTTTTTTAGAATTCACATCATTACCTAAATCTATTCATCACATTCATCATCACAATAACCATTCTTCTTTAACCACTAATTCTATTACTACTGATAATATCAATAATACTACCAATAATACTACTAATAATATTATTAATAATAGTAATCATAATAATCCTGATAAATCTAAATTACGAGAAAACTTTTTAAAATTAACTAAATTATCTAAAAAATTTATTAATTCAAAGAATTTGGGTAATTTTTATTTATTTATTTATATTTATTATTGTTGTTTATTTATTTATTTATAATATTATTTTTTTCTTACAGGTGGAGAAATGGATAATAACAACAATAATAATAACAACAATAATAATAACTATAATAGTAATAATAATAACAACTATAATAATAACTATAATAGTAATAATAATTCATGGAGGCAAAGAACAATAAAACCAATTTCGAAACAACAACATCAATCATCACTTCCACTTCCACCATCAAAAATACCAACAATACAATCATCAAAAATACCGAAAACACCATTAGATATATTTATCAATCAAATAACTGATTATATGGTTAATAACAAAGACGAAGAAGGTTCATCAACAACCAACATTTTCAATAATAATAGTATCAACTCCAATAATACCGACATCAACACCAACATCAACACCAACATTATAAACCCAATTAACACCAATGATACTAAAACAAAAACACCAATAAGAAATAATAATAATAATAATCACCAATATTATCATCAAATTCATAGCATTCAAGATCCACTTAATGCCTTAGAAGAAAAAGCATTTAAACCAAAAAAAGAAATTAATAGAACTCCTACAAAAATCAACACCATCAATACAAGTCATAACAATGATAATACTACAAATAAAATTAATAGTAGTAACAATTACAATAATTTTTTTAATGGAGAAATCGACAATGATGAAAATAAAGAGAATGAAGATGAAAATGAAGAAAATCATTATATATCATCACAGATGTCGTTGGATATAATTTCATTATTAGAAGAAACTCCTCCTGACATGATTATTGATGATTATTGATAATAATTGATAATTATGATGATTAAAGATAATTGTAATCATAATTGAATCTGTTTGGTTAATTAAATAATTAAATAAATATTAATTTCATTAAAAAAAAAAGATATATTTATTATATTATCATCATTTAAATTATTATGCTAATTTCTATCGTTACTGCTGGTATTACTTATCTCTATCTTAATATCTACTTCTACTACTACTGCTATCATCTAGATATCTAGTTAAATAGATAATGAATAATTGATTTACAAATGAAATGAATGTTTACTTGTATAGCTTTTCCGACCCTAACTTTTCTTTTTAAAATAAAATATTAACATTATACCAATTATGACTATAGTAAATTATGACCATTTTTTGGTCATAATAGATGTGTAAAATAATAAAAAAATAAATAAATAGGTCGTCTATTTTATAGATTTCTTAACGCGAACAGGAAACGATGATAATGTTCGTTCTGGTGAGTGACCAAAATTCTTATTGTAAACTAGACACAGCTCACTGTTAAGGAAAAAAGCCAAATATACTGCTGAGATGTCTATACTCTAAGTATACATTGATATCATTCTTTCACACATTTGTAATGTTGACTTG